CTCTTGTTCCAAAAAGAATCCCAGTGCCTAACAAACCTGAACCCTTCCCCCCTACACCATCGTCTCATTCACGCATTGAGACTCCTGATCTGTGCCTGTCTCTCCAGCCCTGCGTGTGGAACAGGTAGCACTTCTGAGAAAGCTACCTTGGAGGTCCTGGACCTAAGTTTCCTGCCCAGCAGCCTAAATTTCTCCTCCAGGACCTCACGACTGCATTTCCCCACATTGTCGGTGCCGACATGCACCACGACCACTGGCTCCTCCCCAGCACTATCTACCAGCCTAACTAAAACATGCGTAATGTCTGCTACCTTCGCACCAGGCAGGCAAGTCACCATACGGTCAGTACGCGGGTTCGCCATCCAGCTGTCTACCAACTACGAAGAGCCCCCCTCCTACCCTGCCCAGGGATGGTTCCTTGGTGCGAAAGGATACCCACTCACCAGCTGGGGAAGAGGTCCCTTCTGAAGGCACATTCCCCTTATCCTCAGCACTGTTTCTCCTTGACCCTTATGCTCCCTGACAGCGGCGTGGCTGCCAGATCCCGAGTGGGACATATCTATCAAGTCCCCGAGAGTCTTTTCTGTGCACCTAACTGACTGTCTCTGCTTCTCCAGGTCAGCCACCTTGGCCTCAAGGCAGCAAACGTGTTCCCTGAGAACCAGGAGCTCCTTGCACCGAGCAGAGACCCAAGACTTCTGTCCAGTGGGCAGATAGTCATACATGTGACACTCCGTGCAAAACACTGGGTAGCCCCCAACCCCCTGCTGGCATTCTGGCTTCATAATTCTTTTAAAATAAGTAAATATAATTCCCCTTTTAAAACCCTTTGTATTTATGTGGTTTTTCTTGTGAAAGTCAAATTACTCCAGCGAGGACGATCCCGAGACAACGGGAAAAGGCCAGGTCCTGCTGTAAGAGGCGCAGAGCAGCAGGGCCCAATCCCAGAGGCACCTAAAGTGGTGAGCAGCTCCTCCCCCTGTTTTTCGTGACTGTGACTCTGATTAACCCAGCCCTTGGGACGCATATCCGTGTAAGAGCACTAATTGACTCGGGGTGTGGGAGGAACCTCATCATTACCCCGGCCGCCAGATTCCCGCTGGTGTTGGGGGGCCCTTGGCTACATGGACATGATCCATACATTCTGTGGGATGAAGGGAAAGTGCAGTTCATTTCGCCTCGGTGTCAAGGGCACCGATGAAACCCACAGTGGGGCCAGCAGCCAATAGTGGAAACCCCTAGGGTGTGTTTGGCTCAAGAGGAGCTGCAAACCATTCCCCCTGAGTACCGTGACTTGGCTAGGGTGTTTGAAGAAGAAGAGGCCAATGAGCTTCCACCCTATAGACACTCGGATTGCAGCATTGAAATATTACCCGGCCAAAAACTACCCATTTATGCAATGGGGCCAGCCGAGAAAGATGAACTGTGCAAATTTATTGATAAAAACCTGGCCAGGGGTTTCATCCAGCCAGCCTCCTCCCCTTTTGTGGCCCCGGTGCTTTTCCGGAAGAAAAAGGATGGGGGGTTGAAGTTGTGCATGGACTACCAGGGATTGAACGCAGTGTTTTCGACCAATGCTTATCCCATGCCTTTGATCAAAGATCTGCTGGCCGAAGCGGCAAAGGGGGAAAAAAATTGAAATTGGATCTCTGCGACGCTTACTTTCGGGTTCACATCAGGGATGGGGACGAACACAAGACTGCCTTTAATATGCCCCTGGGTCACTTTGAGTACCGCATGATGCCGTTCGGTCTTCAGGGGGCACTGGGGGTCTTCATGAATCTGATCAATGAGGTGTTGCACAAGCACTTGTTCAAAGGGGCACTTGTTTACCTAGATGATATCTTGCTGTACTCCCCCGACCTACCTTCCCATGTGAAATTGGTGAGGGAAGTTCTGACCACGTTGCACAAGCACAAACTGTTTGTGAAACTTTCAAAGTGCGAGTTTCAGAAGACCCACATTGACTTTCTAGGATATCGGATCTCTGACAAGGGCTTGGAGATGGACCCAGGGAAAGTAAGGGATGTGTTGGGCTGGGGAGTCCCTCGCACCAGGCACCAGTTACAATCCTTCCTCAGGTTCGCGAACTTTTACAGAAACTTCCTGCCCAACTTTGCCCAGGTCAGTTTGCCCCTGACCGACTTGTTGAAAACTAAGGGAAAGGGGCCAGACGCACCCAAGCCGGGGGCAGCGTTGGCTTGGAGTCAGGAGTGCCAGGAGGTTTTCAAATGCCTCAAGACTTTGTTCACCGCAGAACCAGTCTTAGCTCACCCTGATGAAATGAAAAAAATTATTGTTCAAACGGACGTATCCGATGTGGCCATGGGGGGGGCATTCCCCCAGAGGGGGGGGATGGGTTACTGTACCACTTGACATACGTGTCAAAGAAGTTTAATGACACGGAATGCAATTGGTCAGTTTGGGAGAAGGAGGCGGGAGCCATAAAACTTGCCCTGGCCACTTGGAGACACTGGTTGGAGGGAGTGAGAGTCCCATTTGAGGTATGGACTGATCATAAAAACCTAGAAACGCTCAGGACGCCCAAGTGCCTTAATGCAAAACAACTCAGGTGGGCTGATTTCTTTTCCAAGTTCCAGTTCACCATCATTTTCCTGGCTCCGCGAACTCTTTGGCTGACGCCCTGTCATGCCTCCCCGAGCACGACAGCCAACAAGAAATAATTTTGGACTCGGTGTTCATGCCTTCCCACCTGGGCGTGGCAGTTATGACACGTAGCTGGACTCGCCCCGTAGCCCTCCCCTCTGTGTCACGGCCACCTGACACTTCCCGGTCGGACAAGCTGGGGGGGGGGAACTTGGCACGGAAAATTCGCCTCTTCCTTCTCGGAGGGTGACAAGGCAGTAGTAGATGCAGAAGGAGACTTAGAACTTCGGGCTGACAGCTGTTGGTACCGTGGACATAAACTGTTTGTTTCACTCTCCCTCAGGGGGGAGGTGTTGCAAGTAATGCCTGGCTCTAAATTGTCAGGACACCCGAGTTTTGTTAAGTCCCTTCAACTCCTGCAGCGGCAATTCTGGTGGCCGCAAATGCGGAAGGATTTATTCTCGTTTGTCAAGTCCTGCCAAATCTGTGCCATGAGTAAACCCCGGCCGGGGAAAACCCCAGGTTTATTGCAGCCTCATCCAACTCCGAACTGGCCCTGGGAGGTGATATCCATGGACTTTATCACGGATCTCCCACCTATCAAGTTAATGACTGTCATCTGGGTGGTAGGGGATTTGTTTTCCAAACAAGCACACTTCATTCCGTTTGCCTCTCTGCCCATGGCAAAAGCACTTGCCAAAGCGTTTCTTTAACACATGCTCCCAGCCAAGGTGGTGTCCGACAGGGGGACCCAATTCGTTTCCCAGGTTTGGGGGGAGCTGATGAAATTAATGGGAGTGGAACGGGGCCTGAGCAGTGCCTATCACCCAGAGACTGATGGCCAGATGGAGCGGGTTAATCAAACCTTGGAGCAATGTCTCCGTTGCTTCACCAATTATCAACAAGATGATTGGGTGGATCTGCTGCCCCTGGCCGAATTCTGTTATAACAACACTTGCCATTCCTTGACTGGACTGTCCCTGTTTAAGGCTTTGAATGGCTACGATAACCCACCTGTGCCCTTCCTGAAAGGGAACAATGAATTGGGGCCGGGGGATGCAGCTCAATGGTTTTAACGATTAAAGGAGTCGTGGCCGCTCCTTTGCAAGACTTTGAATATGGCCAAGAAGGCGTACAAGACTCAGGCTGACAAGAGAAGGGTGGAGGGATGGGCTCTGAAGCCTGGGGACTCTGTGTATGTGTCTACTAAAAACATTAAGACCTAGCCGGAAACTAGGTTGGAAATATCTTGGTCCCTTCAAGGTGAAAAGGGTGATCAATGATGTGGCCGTGGATTTGGATCTACCAAAAACCTTAAGAAACCTTCATTCTGTATTTCATTTCAGCCTCCTGGAATGGGATTCTGGGTCAAGTCTCTGGCATCCGTCGCAGCCGGTACCCCCTCCTATCTTGATTGAGGGCGAGGAACATTACGAGATCTCTAAGATTCTGGACTCTAAGATTAAACGTGGAAAACTGTTGTATCTAGTTGAATGGCTGGACTTTGGTCCCCAGCACCTCGAGTGGGTGGAAGCAGGGGATATTCGGGCCCCTCGGTTGTTGTGGAAGTTCCATAGCGACTTCCCGAACAAACCGGGAGATCTCCCAGAATGACCGGGAGACCTCCTGGAATGGTCGAGAGAAGGGCAGAATGTCAGCTATGCTGTCATAAGAGTTGGGGGTGGGGTGCTAGCTTGCCAGGACTGCTGCATTCCTTTTCAGCTTCTGTAATGCTTACTTATCTGTGGCCTTGCAGGTGGGGTGTTGTGTCTGGGATTCTAGGGAACCGTGGGAGTGCTTTCGGTTCTCAGCTTTGGCTCTAACGGCCTGGGGCTCCTTCTCCCGCACGCGGGAATGTGGCTAATTGACCTAAGGAGGGGGGGTGCATACGAATACCCTATATCCTATTATGCTTTTAGGGGTGACGCCATTTTTAACAGTGCCTTTGTTAATGCATCTATAGCTCTTCAATAAAGTATAACCTTTCCAATAAGCGTGTACTCGGTTGTTGGCTGTGGAACCTGACCATATGTAGCTGAAAGGGTAATTAATTAGTTCATTAGTTATCAGTTATGAGAGTTTTGAAATAATTTGTTTAATTCTTTTGATTTGTTTGCTTATTATTTTTAATACATTTATATTGATTTTGTTATCAGGCTTGGGAGCTCTTTACTAAGAGGTAGTCTGTAAGTGACCAAGTAAACAGATCAGTTTATTTCCTTCCAGGCCCTAAGCCATGAGAAATGTGGGCCTGCAGATTGGCTTGTGACACCCTGGATAGAAAGTAAATGCTGGACAAGAGCAGTGTTTGTTTTTAGGCCCTGCATAATGTGTTTCCACTCTTCTTTTGGTATAATCATTTAGGCTATGTGGCTTGCTGCTTGGAGCATCTTCTTTTCACCCCAGCATACTGGCTGAACTGTGCCCTGGTGGAGGACACTGAAATTACAGTTACTATAGATGAAGATCATATGGCCACCATGTACCTGGGTCTTCTGCTCCAGGAAGGTAAGAAACATAAACCTAGCCTTATAAACCCCCCTCCCCCAGTACATCTGATTAAGGTCTGAGCCAGCAGGAAGAAGAAGGTGGATGGAGGCAGGCATGAGAATAGGGTTGCCAGCTCCGGGTTTGAAAGCACCTGGAAATTTGAGGACAGAGCCTGGGAGGGTGGAGTTTACGGAGGGACCTCATCAGGGTATAATGCCATACAGTCTACCTTCCAAAGCAGTCATTGTCTGTGGAATAAAATGGAATAAAATGTTTTTACAAAATAAATAAATAATAAATAAGCAATCTATGTAAATTCCAGGATATCTCCAGCTCCCACTGGGAGGTTAGCGACCCTAGGTAAGATGGTGGGGAATGCAGCAAAATTAGAATTTTAAAAAAGTCCCTCACCTGCCCCAAGTCCTAAAAACTGGTTCTGACATGGAGTAGTGTAGGGACAGTTGTGTTCTTCAACTAACCAGGAACCCAAAATCAAAGGCAGGTCACAAAGGAATAAAACATCCAATACCAATAATAGACAGTATAGCTATCTAAAATATCATGAACAACAAAAATTAAAATAATATCAAACCATAACAAATTATTTCCAAAAGAGGAAAGTCTTTATCTTCTTTTGGAAGAAAATTAAAAACTGGGCAAATGAGTTTCCAAACTATGGTGTCATAGCAGAAAACCCAGTCTTTTCTTGTAGGTGGCCACCAAACCCTTGAAGGTGTGTCACCATAAAAATTGGGTTTGCCTCAGAACAGAAAAGAGTGCACAAAGGATCATGTCCTGTTCTTTTGTATGACAGGAACCATGATGCCCCTTTCTCTCATTCTGTCTGCAGGAAACTTCTTTGCCAGAGCAGCGCTCAGTGTCCTCACCGAGGAAGAAGAGGAAGATTTGAAGCTCTACAAGAGTGAGCTAGTCCACGTGAAGGACATTGGGCATGAAGCAAAATGGGAAGGGACATCTCTGTCTACAGACCAGCGGGGACTAGTCCCTGTCACAACTATAGAGCCACTTCCCCATCCCTTTTACCAGTAAGTAGACTGGCTGTGGTGGTACTGTGCATGGGGACAAGATGATGAGCAGTGTGCTGGGTTCAGTCAATTGAATATTGCAGCTAGTAGCCTTCACCACATCATGTAGCCATGAATTCTGTAAGTGAATTGTATTGCCTGCTTTGGATGAGAGACCATCAAGGCTAGGGTTGCCAAATTTAGATCGTCCGGGAGCGGGGGGCTCCCGGACGATCCCGGGCACGTGCGCGCGTGCATACCGCACACGCGCACCGCGTGCGCGTCACCCGGAAGTGACGTCGCACGCTGGGGACGGGGCCACGTGATTTGAGGGGAAAACAAAGAGTTTTCCCCTCAAATGGCTGCCATTTGAGGGGAAAACTCTTTGTTTTCCCCTCAAATCGCGTGGCCCCGCCCCCAGCGTCCGACGTCACTTCCGGGTGACACGCACGCGGGGGTTTCCCCCGGGCCCCGATTCCGGCGCGCCGGTAATCGGAGGTCCGAAGCGGGGGAATCCCCGCCCCCCGGCTGCATTTGGCAGCCCTAATCAAGGTATACTGAGACTTGATGGCACTTTACACACACACGGAAGTAAATGGGCAGCACAGAACACATGTAATACCTGGGGAGGGCGGGGTATAAATGTGGAAAATAAATAAGTAAATAAATATATTTTGCTACCTAGTATGCCAGGCTTCAAAAGAAGCAGAGTGTTTGTTCACAGCTCTTCACATTCACAGGTGGTTTCTGAAGAACTATCCAATGAGCTGTGGCATCTCCAATCAGATCAACGGAAGTGATTCTTTGCAGATTGGTGAGTGTAACCTTCTCGGATGTAACATCAGAGCCAATGTGTTCAAGACAGATCTGCAGGATATCTGTACTAAGTGATTAAAAGAGGAAAGGAATTTTTTCTGGCATAAACTAAGAGTAGAATCTCGAGAAAACCAAATATTTTCCCCCTTTTATTTGCCATATGAAAACTGGGACTTGGAATTCTTCCATGTTTTTTTTAAAAACTGATAATATTTTTGTGATTCCTGCTTTACTGGAATTACTCTATAATGAAGAAAGAAGCCATAACTGGGGGTGGGGGGGAAATGTTGCTTGAGCTACAGCATGTCAGGGGGAAATGGCAGAATACAAAAAAGAACAAATGTCTTCAGTAAGAGGATTTTTAAAAATTACTCTGTGTCCCTCAAAAATTAGCACATTGAGCCTCCAAAATGAAACTAGTGACCAAGACCTTACTGCTCTCAAAATCTTAGTTTTGTAGCACTGGTATATGTCAGATACTGAGGTTTCAGGTGTTTTGAAATGTTTGTGAGACAAAAAGAGGCCTTGTTTTTTTCATACCCAAATGATAAATATGCCCTGCCCCCATCCACTGGCCACTGCTCTGCCCAGAGAGAAAGGCTCCATTGTTCAGCATGCTGATGTGAGGCTGTTTTGTTTTATTCCTCAGGCCAAGGGAGGTGCAGAGCCACAGAGGATCACAGAGGGAGAGGATGGGATGAGCTAAGTTTCTGCAAAGGAGACATCATAGAGGTCCAGGGCTTTCTCATTCCAGGCCTTCAGTGGTTTATAGGGAAATCTACAACTAGTGGGATAACAGGCTTTGTCCAGACCAAATGTGTGCATCCAGAGACAAATGAACAAATGTAAGTGTGCTGTACAGACTGGAGGGGGGGGAATTACAGGGGGAGAGGTCAGGAAAGAAATGGTTTTCATTGCATGCATATAGAAATCCAGTCTGGGATCTTTGATTTGTAAAGCAAGAGAGGAATGTAGAGGGGAGGGGAATGTGGAGGGGAGGCAGGGAAAACAAATGTGTTTGCTCAGGGTTCCTTTATGTTCACTTTTTAAAAAAACTCTGGGATGTGATAATGATTGTAACAATTTATTTGTTTTTTAAAACTTTTCTGTGCCACTTTTCCACCTAAATAAGATTCCCAAGGTGGCAAGCATCAAAATTAAAACATTTAAGACATTAGAATAGCATTTAAAATACAGTGTATATATAAAATATTTAAACATTTCAATAAAAACATGTAAACACACATAACAACATAACCAGAGAGGAGGAACAATAAGAGTTACTAGGGATACACTAAACCAAACACAAAAAAGGTCTTCACCCACTGGTGGAAGACAGCAGTAGAGGGGGACAGACAAACCTCCCTGGGGAGGGACTTCCAACGTTTTGGTGCTATGATAGAGAAGGCCCTTTTTAGCTTGCCACCCATCTAACTTCAGATGGCAGGGGCACCTGAAGCAGGGCTTTCAAAGATGACCTGAGTGGATGGGTAGTTTCATATGGGAGAAGGCGGTCACTCAGGTATGCTGACCTCAAACCATATAGGGCTTTAACTTATAAAGGACTGACACGAGATCTGTTCATGTGCTGAATATGGGTTTACATAAGAACATAAGCAAAGCTGTGCTGGATCAGGCCAATGGCCCATCCAGTCCAACACTCTGTGTCACACAGTGGTCAAAACTCAGGTGTCATCAGGAGGTTCACTAGTGCCGCCAGAACTCTAGGAGCCTTCCTACTGTGGCCCCTTAAGCACCAAGAATACAAAGCTTTACTGCCCCAGACATAATGTTCCATCTATACCTTGTGGCTAATAGCCACTGATGGATCTCTGCTCCCTATGTTTATCCAATCCCCTCTTGAAGTTGTCTGTGCTTGTAGCTGCCACTACTTACTGCAGCAGTGAATTCCTTGTGTTAATTATTTTTTGGGTGAAGTACTTCCTTTTATCTGTTCTGAACCTACTGCTCATTAATTTCATTGAGTGCCCAGGAGTTCTTGTATTGTGAGAAATGGAGAAAGGTACTTCTTTCTCTACCTTGTCTATCCCATGCATAATTTGGTAAACCTCTATCATGTCACCCCTCAATTGTCATTTCTCCAAGCTAAAGAGCCCTAACTCCTTTAACCTTTCTTCACAGGAAAAGTGTTCCACCCCCTTAAATCTTTTAGTTGCCTTTTTTTGCACCTCTTCCAATGCTATAATATCTTTTTTGTGGTGCAGTGACCAGAACTGTACACAGTATTAGAAATGAGGCTCCACCATAGATTCATTCAGGGGTATTATGATACTGGCTGATTTTTTTTAAAAAATTCCCTTCCTAATAATCCCTAGCATAGCATTTGCCTTTTTTAATTGCAGCTGCACACTGAGTCAATATTTTCACTGAGTTATCTACCATGTCTCCAGATCTTGCTCCTGATCAGTTACCGCCAGTTTGGACCCCATCAACGTGGATTTATAGTTGGGATTTTTGGCTCCAATGTGCATTATTTTGCACTTGCCCATGTTGAACCTCATTTGCCACATTGATACCCACTCATCCAGCCTCAACAGATCCCTCTAGAGCACCTCACAGTCCTCCTTGGTTTTCACTGCCCTGAACAACTTAGTGTCATCTGCAAACTTAGCCACTTCATGGCTTACTCCCAGCTCCAAATCATTAATGAACAAGTTAGAAAGCAATGGACCTAGTACCAAGCCCTGTGGTACCGCATTGCTTATCACCTTCCACTATGAAAACTGCCCATTTATACTCACTGCCTATTTATACTCACTTATTAACTAGTTTTTAATCCACAAGAGGACTTGTCCTCTTATCCCATGACTGCTGAGTTTACTTAGGAGCCTTTGATGAGGAACTTTATCAAAAGCTTTCTGGAAGTCAAGGTAAACAACATCTATTGGGTCATTCTTGTCCACATTCTTTTTTTTCTTTTTCTTTTTTGCTAAACTAAGATACAACAAGGATACCCATGCCTTAGGCAGAGTACCACAGCAATGCATTCTTTTGAGTATATGCCATTGTCTTAGGTTGGCCTGGGAAAAATTTGTATCATGAAAACTTTGATATACTTGAAATCCATTTTTAGATAAATTGATAATGTTTTGTAGTGTACTTCTGGTGTAATGAGTCTTATCATGGCATAGTGGGAAGCTGTGATCCCAAAGACCCTGTCAAAATGACATGCAACAACCCCATGTTTATAGATCAAGATGGGTAGTTGCGTTAGTGTCAGGATCCACAGCAAAACAACGAAGTACACGCTTCCATGAAGGTTTTACTTTTATTGAAAAGCCATAGATGCAATAACATAAGCACTGTTAGGAATGGTGGGCTATTCATGTGCATAATAGGATATAGGGAATTCGTATGCCCCCCCCCCCCCAGTAACACCCAATAAGGTGGGCTCCCGTGCGCGGGATTCAAGACATATTCTAACGGGAAGGTAGACACCACACTCCTCCAGTCCCTCTTTACAGATAAGCATTGCAGCTGGTAAGCAATGAAGCGCATAGATAGGAATGCAAAACAATCAGAACGTCTCACCTTACTCATGGCAGCTTAGCTGACAGTTAGTCTGTCTGTGGAAGGTCAGTAGTTCAGCAGTTCGAGACCCAGGAGAGATAGAAAAGTCTGACTGTAGAAGTAGAAAAGAGCTAGAGTCCAGTAGCAACTCAAAGACTAACAAAATTTGTGGCAGGGTATGAGCTTTCTTGAGTCACTGCTCACTTCAGATTTTTGTCAGTCTTTTAAGGTGCTACTGGACTCTTGCTCTTTTCTTCAACCCCATGTTTGTGAGACTTATTTGTTTGAAGACTAATCATGAAAAAGGGACAGCAGCTTTGTATCAGGTATGATACACAGCTTACGAACAACTGAGCAGGTCATTAGCACTTCTACCAGTAGGTAAGATCGATTTCAGAAAGTTTATCTGTTGTCTAGAGATCTGTATACTTCTGGGATATTTTTTCAGTGAAGACTGCTTTCAAAGCTAAGTGATTTCAGAACCATTTCCATATCACAGATTATTATTGGTACTGCTGGAGATAATTAAGTAGTGAAATTAAATTTATATCCCAGCAAACATTCTCACAAGGAAGCTGCTTGTTGGAAAGCAACCAAAGTGTGCACATTGGACTCTAAATTGTAGTGGCCACTAGGTGTCACTGTTGTCCCCCTCAAGACCTTGCCTGTGTTAATACTCTGCAGAAAAAAATCTCAGAGTGATACTTTTTCCCAGTTCAAATGGTTACAGATTATGCTTTAACATAATAGAAAGAGAGAGTTTTGATCCTTTTTCTGCTATAAAGAAAGACTAACATTCATGTTTTTTTTTGTTAGCCGTCTTGAACTGATAATTATATTATAAACATATATAGTACCTTACTACAGGTACCACTTCAGTGGGAAGGTAACAGTGTTCCGTGCGCCTTGGTGTTTAGTCATGCCGGCCACATGACCACGGAAATGTCTTCGGACAGCGCTGGCTCTTCGGCTTTGAAACGGAGATGAGCACCATAACCCTAGATTCGACTGGCTTTCGAGCAAGGGAACCTTTACCTTTTTACAGCTACTCTTCCTCCTGAAGCTAATAGTTTCTCTTGAATAATAGTGCTTGTTGGGGGGGGGGGACCGTTTTAAACGTGTTGCAGTAAAATATGCACATATATAACAGTGATACTAGAAAAAACTGCTTTTTTCATCAGATCTATTTAGTTATTCAAATCTTCTAGTCCTGTGTTGACCACAGTTTTGGAATCTCATCCAGTTTTCCTGAGCCCAGCTCTGTTCTTGGCAGGATCAGGGATCCCTTCTCCCTGTTGTGTTGGCATTATTTGGCAAACTTGTCTAGCATTATTTATTTATTTATTTTTACATGCCTGCTCTGCCAAAATGAGTTTAGTAAGCTCTCAACAGCACAAAACATTTATAAAACTGTGAAAAGAAACCATTTCACACATAGTCCCCAAGATACACCTCAATCCATTTCAGTGTACAGTTTTCTTGGTAGCTGATGCCCAGGGCAACCACTCAGATCATGGACTCCTGTTGTCCCTCTTTTATCCATGCTACTGTTTGTGTGGCACTTAGAACTTGTTTGGTTTAAGTCTACCCTATTGTTTCTAGTCAGGGAAGGGACCTGGACAGGGTTTGTTGGTTTTTTTTTAGGTTTAGTGGATTTTCCTTGGGATTAGAGCTGTAAAATTTTTGGAAATGTTGAAGCCAGGAAAAAAGCCTGTTCTTCCCCCCATTCCCTAGCCCAATCTTCAATCAATGAAAATAAATTTTAAAAAAGGAAGTATATGCAGTATTTACTTTCCAATACAAGCTGAAATTTCTGATTTAAAAGCATAAAATGCTTTATATCTTAGCATATACAATTGGACTATTTGACATATTTATGGAATATGAAAGTATAAATATCTGCCAGCATATTGGATATTATGCTGGAGTAGCTCAGGTCATATTATGGAAGAAGTTCAATTTTATAAATATCTGGGAGTTACATTCCAGTGTTCACTCTCTTGGGCTTTGCTTGCTAAAGAGATATTTATGAAAGCCAAGAGTACTGCTGCAATTTTGAGGAAATTTTTTTCTACCACAGGTGCTCAATTTGTCCCTGCAGCTTTGGATGCATTTTGGGCAAAAATAATCTCACTGTTTTTGTATGTGTCCGATTCCCCATGCATTCGAATAAATCCACGTTTGAAGAACAAAGTAGAGTTTATTATAAAGCGATGATGAGATCAGAACACAAGCATTGTTAGGAATAACTACAAGCCCCCTAAGGAAACATAATAAAGGAACTTTGAACCAGGTGAGGACCAATGAGTCCACTTCCCGCTGGCGGGAAGGCAGATAAAACAAGCGCCCAATTCCTTGGGAACACAACGGTTCTGCAACATAAACACTAGTTCAGTTCTCAGGCATGAGATACATAATAAGCCAAGCAATGCCATAACTCCATCCCACCTCCAGCTGGTTGACCTTGAGCAGTTCCACAGATGTAGCAGCAAAAGACAGTAAACACCTACACAGGAAAATACAAGGGGGATGAGCAGGGTGCAATGTAACACAGAGAAATGAATACACCATCTTATGGAAGCTTGCTGACAGTATGCTATTCAGGTGTGGATTGGTAGCCTGGGTAATCCAGACAAATTTCCTTAGCATGTCCTTAGATGTATCACCTCATCCTCCATGTGAATGGAAACTGGGCAGAAGACAATTTCTCTTATAGCCTGGCTAATTGTTATTAAATATTGGCTTGCAATTAATCTAGAGAGTAAGAAATCACTAGTTTCACTGTCATTATTAGATTCTTTTAAACCTGGATGTGTTCACCTGTTCACAGATAAGCTGAACTCACTTTATTTGGATTGTGACTCTCTTCTGGCCTTAGGGAAGACTGGTGCCTATAGTTTGGTTAGTAGCCACCTAGTGGTGGCAGAACAGCGTGGTCTCCAGGAAGGAAAGTGGTGCGTATATTTGCCCATGTACTTTGGATAGCCATACTTTAATCCATATCAGTTACCATATTTATTTATTTATTTATTTGGATTTGTATTCCGCCTTCCCTGCAAGCGGGCTTAGAGGGTATCACATCATAAATTGATAAAAACATACATTAATAAATATAATAATATTTTAAACAACTAGGTAATACAATTTAAAACAATTGTGTATAAACACAAACAGAGTTTTAGCTGGAGTAATTGGGTCTAGAGGTCTTTTTAATTTGGACCAAATAATGATGATAGACTTCAGTGAGGGAGGCCAACTTCATTGGATGCCCTCTGCCTCAACCAATTATTTCTATAGTATTACAACACCATGCTATCAGAGATTTTTTCCCCCCTGCAAGAATGAGTTCACTTCCACTTGCTGTCTTACATGGACAATTTACAGGCCAAGAAAGGGGATCTAGAGTTTGTATCTGTGATAGGTCTTCGGTAGAAACTATTGAATATTTCTTTTTCTGTGTCATTTATTCAGATCTGAGAACAACATTTCTGGATCCTCATCTGAATAGGAAGCCTGTTCACTCTTCAAACTATCATTTCATGACTCTGTTAGCAGGCCTAAGATTTTAATATAACATTAGATGTGTGCAAATATATAGCTGCTGCAATTAAATGTTGTTTGTTTTTAATGAACTGTGAACAGCAATAACTTTTTTGTTATATGGCTGTCTTTTTCTGGTTGAACAGCCTATTTGGCTTTAAGACCTAGATGAAAGTGGTTTGGATATTAAGCTAAACTTCATAATGTTAAAAACACGGAACTCATTAAAATGTATTATCTTTACTACATTCCTACAGTGCTATGTTCAAACCATAAATAAAAAGTTAACTACTTGTTTGTTTTTTAAAAATTATTATCATTAAAACATATTATAGTATATTAATTGGTACAAAATTATTTAAATTAAAAGAAAAAAACTTGAAAATATTGTATATGCCTACAGCATAAGTTTTTTAAAATAAGCTCTATTGCAAATTACCTGATTTTTCCATTAGAAAAATGGAAAAACTCCTAAGACTTTTTCATGCTACACATTTTGAATGTGAAAACTTTTGCGTTAAAAAGTGTTTTGCTTATTCTGAAAGAGAAAATATTTCATAGGAATTTCTTTTCACTGTTTCCTTGAATTTTTCTTTTGTGTCTGTATGTAATGAGAAAAAAGCAACCTTGGGGAAAACGGGGGGAAATTCCTCCCCCCAAAATTTCTAATTTTTTTACAGACACTCACATCTCTACTTGGGAGGCAAAGCATTCACCACCATGTAAAACATCACATCATCGGGAGGCCATGTAGTGTAGTAGTTAGAGTACTGGACAGGAGCTAGGGAGATCTGAGTCCAGATCACTTTTTACTCATGAAGCTCATTGGGTGATTGCTGGTCAGTCACTCTCTCCCAGAATAACTACCTCACAGGGTGATTGTGAAAATGGAATGGAGAACCATGTATGCAACTCTGGCTTACTTGGAGGAACAGTGGGATAAACACGTAAGATGTCAGTTATGGTATCCTTCCTCTACTTTACAGCAAGAAACAGCAAGCTTAGGGTCCTGAGAGATTATAGATTTCACAGGAACAGAGCCTGTCGGTGTCTCTGTGCAGGTGAACGAATGAGTTTAGAAGTTAATAGGATGGAAGGATGCAGTGCTCACTGGCATTTACCCTTGTTTCATCCCAACACAGAAGAAAGAGTCCAGTATTTTTCAGTGAACAAGAAGTGGCCTCCTTTCTTCAAGTTCCCTGCAATGGAAGCGAGACACATTACAGTAGTCTTCTCAGTGAATTGGCTCAGACGGACATTGCCTCTGTGTACAGGCTTGGTGAGTGTGCCTTTCCCTCCCTTCCCTGCATCCCAACACATACACCTTATTCTGCAAGTGAGATGCTCCTTTTTGAGTCAATAGCACCACCTGCTGTCAAATAAAACTCAGTAAATAATGACCTGTTCAGGCAATTTTAGCATTTTTTTAAAAAGTGCTGCCTGACAGTGGAGTCGGGTAGATATCACAAAGGCCCCTTTCACTAAAAGTCCATGTGCTCCATAATCTAGAGGGCTGGTAAAAAGGAGTGAAAGAAAAACTGCCACTATTATCATAATTCAATTGCAGTTGTTGATAGTATTTTCTCTTTGGAGAACTAACAGTTTGCTCTTATGTCGAACTGACTGGAAGCCCACTCTTCTTCAGTGTCTTTGCCCCTCTTGCTATATTTTTTGTCATCGAGGCATAACTCCCAAGTTTAAGTTGGAACGTCTCCTATCGTTAGTCTTGAGGCTGAATCACTCAGAAGGGCTTGTTATTAGTGCAGCATTTAAAGTTGAACCTTGCTGTGGCTCATCTTGCATGTCCCCCCCCCCCTTTCTGTTGATTGCACAGATGGTTTTGAACCTGTAGCAGTGTTCTCAGAAACACCATCAGGTGAGTTTAGATGCAAGGGGAAACGGATGCTCTTTTCTCCAGAAATGAATTTTCTTGAGGAGAAGCACTTCCTTGTGACTTATCTTTCTTTTTCAGATGCGGTTGTGCAAGGCCTGAAGGATGGCTGGACATTAGAGGGTTGGGGCAGGCAGGTTGCAAATAGCTTGCCCACCCCTAGTGATTCAGAGATGTCCACTCCAGATGGAGAATCTTCATCTTCTCCCCTGGAAAGTTTACTTTTGCCAGAGCCAGATGACCTTGACGATCCCAAATTCTTTATTGATTTGAATGCTGGACACATAGAAGAATCTGATGTTTTTGACCCTATACTGACTTTCCTTAACCAAGATGGCTATGTGGCCCATTTCGAGGGACTCTATGACATCTCCTTTTCCTTCCTCAATTCCACTTTCTATGGCTTTTCCAATGAGGAGGAGCTTGTCTTATACCTTGAGACATCCAGGAACTGGGCCAAGAAAGGTCACCTTGCTTGGGCTCACATTCGAATATGCTTTCTTTTGGGCCGACTCTGTGTCAAGAGGGCCAAGTTCTCTCAAGCCCGAGTCTATTTTGAAGAAGCCATGAGCACTATGGATAAGGGGTTTGAGGATCTGCTCTTGCTCACCTCCCTGTACACAAACCTGGCTGCCATTTATCTGAAGCAGAAGATGAAGCAAAAATTCTTGTCTGTGATTGGGAAAGCGGTGGCCCTTGTAGCTGGCCTTCCAGGGCACTGCTTCAGCTCTGAGAATGAGCTAGAGGTCATGCTGTACATCCTGAGAGAAGCAATTGCTACGACCAACACTGCCCTGGAAGTCCGTGCCTCCTTCCTTGTTGTCAGGCTCTTCCTTCAGCTGGGCAAATATGATGAGGTCCTGCCATTTGCAGAACGCCTGCAGTTCCTTTGTGCCAGTTTCTCCAGCCAGGGCTCCAAAGTGCTATCTTTAGGCACAATGCCAATCTTGAGCTACCTGTATGACAAGAAGTACTTGCCACACATTGCTTTGGCATCTGCCAGGCTATATTCCCCTAGTGGCATAACAGTGGCACTCACTCCCATTTGGAGAGCTGGATTTATCCTTATGAATGCCTCTAAGCTCCTGAAAGTCCAAGAAAGAAGCTGCAATGTCCCTGCTGTGGCTTGTTATTATCTCAATTGCGCACTGGCCTTCTCGCATGAAAAGAAAGCTGTGTCCACTGAGAGAGCTGTGTGTACAGTTTTAGCCAAAATGTACCTGAAGCATGGCGTGGTACAGGCAGCTGTTCATTATTCCAACAGAGCTGTTGCCCTCGGCAAAATGTTGGGCGAGGAAGAGGCTTTTGAATCCTCCCTTTCTTTGGGATGGATGTATGCTTTGAATGGCCAGCCGGAAAAAGCTTCAGAGATCATGCTCTGCCTCCTGCATTCTCTGCGCCAGACAGACAGTGTGACACAGGATGGGGTGGTCCACAACCTTCTGGCTATCGCCCTTAAGGAAGAAGGACAGGTGCAAAAGTCAGCCAAAAACTACCTGTGGGCCTTAAATAAAGCCCGGGAGACAGGCAACAGGCGGAACCAAGCTATCGCCTTATGCAACTTTGGATGCCTGGCTCTGTCTTGCAGTGCATACCACCTAGCTGAATGTTACTTTCTCCAGGCTGTTAGGTTGTATTTTGAATTCGAGGGTGGTGATGATGCCCAGATGGAATTGGTGCAGGTCCTGCTGTGGTTGGCACAATCCCTGGTGGAGAGGCATAAATCAGAAGAGAGCAAGCTGTTCTATGAGCTGGCCTTGGCAATTGCCTTGATGTCTCGCAACATGATGAGTGAGTAATTGGAGTATGGGAAGGTGATCTTCAGAAACAAATATGTCCTTTGCTAAATGCATGACTTTTAACCCATCAAATTACACTGTACCTTACAGGTCAGCTTCACACTGTTGAATCCCTCTGCCATTTCCATAGCAAAGTGCACCCAAATACTGGTGCTTGTATTGTTTACCACGAGCACCAAGTTTCCCTAGCCCAGCAACTCCAAGACAGAGGAATGGAAGGACAGCTTTTGCAGGTTCTTGGCCAGCTATACCAGAGTCTACATACAACAAGGTGGGTCAAAAGGTTGGAAAGATGATCTTAACTAGAAGTGGCGAAAGCATTTCTAACAATATTTTGGTGATTTTGTTGTTAGATGATTTCAGTATTTTTTTCGTTAAAAATTAGTGGAACAATTAACATACAAGCTCCTGAAACATTATTTTTGTGGCCAACACCATTTTGTTTTTAAATCTAGATTTTGTTTTAATGATATGTCATGATTTGTTTTTTGTATTGGTTTTATACTACTATTTGCTCTGTCCTGTTTTACTGTTTTAGTTGTGAGTAGTCTTGAGCAGGGCTGGAGAGGCAGCATTCATTTTCTGAATAAATAAGATAAGCAAACAATTTGAATTAAATTGCCCATTCTGCAGTTTGAAGGGGACATGTGTCATGAACCATTGACCCCTGAAGGGGTTTACTTTCTCCCCCTCCCAAGGGTCTTGCTTATTCCTAAAAAAATCTTACTTCTCTGGGCTGTGCCTCAGAGATTCAACAGCTCCCACCTGCTTCTTTATATGATACTAATGTGGTGCAAGTTAGGAACCATTTTAGGAGCAGTATGTCCTTGGAGCAGGGCCCTGACCTATATACAGATGGCAATATTGTACCATAAATGTGCATTGTGTCTTGCACAGCACAAGAATACAGGTTTCAGCCCTGAGGGGCTTATTATCTGTTTGAACAGGGGAAGACAGTAAAAGAAGGGGAGGGAGTAGAATTGGGGATAAACATGAAGAATATGATTTCACTATGTGTGCTTTGGTTTAAGGTCAGTAGGGAAGGGCAGATGTGCCAAAAGGCTTCATGGGATTGGAAAGATGGATTGTGAAGAGGAATTTAAAAGAAGTGAGAGCACACAGGTGTTCTGGGAAGGAGTTTCAGGCCAGGGAGAAAGGGCAGAGTTACCTGAAGGTGCAAAAGACCTTTGGAAGGCTGCAGATGGTAAAGTAGGAGAAGCATTGATCATACTCTGGGTTGTATAGTATTGGGGTACAAGGCAGAAAGATACAGAGGGATGAGCCCATGGATGGCTTTGTAGGTAAGGACAGGAGTATTGTGTGAGTTTAGGAGCAGAGAGGAAGCCAATAGGTGGATTTAAGGAGGAGTGTCACATGGGAATGACAAGAGTGGTGAAGAGTTTTAGTAGCAAAGTTCTGGATAGAGGTGAGGAGATGAAGGTATAACTGTAAACGCCAATTAGGAGGGAGGCTTCAGTAGTCAGGTGAGAGGTGCTCTGGTGAAACTCTGGTTCATGCTCTCATCATGAAACAGAATTTCTATAATATTACAGTGCAATTAGACACATGATGGGATTCTGTACTAACATCAGTCTAGATCACTTGAATACAGGAAAGTATATTTATTAATATCACAAAGAGAGAGAGAGATAAAAGCATCAAAGATAATAGACAGCCTATATGAGCAAATCAAAAGAAAAAAAACCTTGGAACTTTTCTAACTAGCTCCAGGTTGATTCAAGTGGGGTTGCCATGTTGGTCTGAAGCAGCAGAACAAAGTTTGAATCCAGTGGCACCTTTAAGACCAACAGAGTTTTATTCAAGGTATAAGCTTTCATGTGCAAGCACACTTCCTCAGATACAGTGAAATAGAATTTCCTCAAGCCCTATATACAGGGAAATGGGAGGCAGCCATCAGGAAGGGACAGTCAGAGCCGGGGCTTCCGGTCAGGGTAAAATGGCGTTTTGATACACCCTGTAAGTGCTCAGGGTGGACAGTTGTTCCTTATAGCAGTTTGGACAGTATATCCGTCCAACGCGGCTTCCCCCAGGCAGGGGGAATGACTGGCAGGCATCAAGAGCCAAGAGAGAGTTGAGATTGGTGTGATCAAGCCTCGGAGGAGGCTTGTTTTACACTTTGATCCCCTCTCCCGAAGCGGGCGTTGCATACAGCACTAAAGAAGCACACTGAGCTGAGATATCAGCTTAAAATCGTCATTTCCCGATCTCATGGAATAAAGGGGAAAGATTTGGAACGAAGGAGGCAGTGTGAAAACCAGAAATAAATAAACAAGGTAACGAACATCATTTTGCTTACCGGGAAACGGTCGTAAGCGCATGTTGAAATATCCGGACAAGCGATAACGAACATTAAAAGCAATTGAGTAACTTTGGACTGTAAAAAAGTTGATAAATGAAGCAAATTTACAGAAAAAAGGAAATTGTTTAACATTCCTGTGGCGGTGGGAGAGATACGAAATTGAAACTTACGTCCGAACAATTGCGAGACTAAGAGGGGGGGAAGATCTGGAAGAAATAGAAAGGGCGGCGTTCCGGAAGTGATGCAGAGGGAGTATAGAAGAGATGTGGGACTGCGGCTAGAAGGGAGTTTGGAAGACTGGAAGAAGATCGGATGGTTAAAAGACGGACTGGAAGGAGGGACACCGGAAGGTAAGAAGAGGACCGAATAAGCGAACGGACAGGAAGTTAAAGAGGAAAGAGACTACTCTGGTCTACAAAACCACAGAGTTGGAGCGCCCAACATTTTTGGGAGTACTAACTTTTAAAACTAAAATTTCTGGCTTGGATTAGAAGTTTGAAGGAAGAAAATAGAGCGGTTCGACTAAGCACATACGGTTCGACTACGCGCATAAAGGACAATTGTACTGTGTAAGCAGAATTTTATTTCAAGGTGGAAGAGATTTGACAAAATTTAACAACGGATTTAAGACAGACAGAGAGCAGCGATGTGGTCGAGCCCAAAGATGACTAAGGCTAAAGATAAGGAATGGCAAGCAGCAATGGAAGCTATGGAAAAAAGGATGTTGGATGCTATACATGAATTGGGAAAACAGATGGAGGAAGTTCAAAGGAAAAATATGGCCACAATGAAAGAACTGGTAGTGTCAGAGGTGGCTGATCTTAAAAAAGAAATGGGTCAAATTAAAAAAGAGTTTCAGAGTTTAGCACAAAAATCTGCTGAAATAGAGCAAAAAACACAAGATATAGACCAAAAAGTGGATACAGTGGTGAAAGAAAATAAACGGATAGACACTATGATGGAATACAGGGCTATGCAGACTCATCTCAGACTGAGAGGGGTGGAAGAGAAATTAGACGATGACATCTGTACTAGAGTGATCAAAGCTTTTGCAGAATACCTACAAGAAGAAGTTGAGGACATAGAATTCAATTTTGACCTGATCTATAGAGTGAACTCAGCTTATGCACAACAGAAGAATTTGCCAAGAGATGTGATCGTACAATTACTAACTAAACGGATGAAGGAGGTTATACTTAAGAAACAATTTACTGAACCACTGGAAATGCAAGGGAAGAAGATAATAATAATGAAAGAACTTCCTAGAGCAATTATTCAAGATAGAAAGAAATTCAGGAGGCTTACAGACAAATTGAGACAGCTGAACATAAGATACAGATGGGAAATACCACAAGGAGTAAGCTTTAATTTTCAAAGCTAAAGACATATGTTCAAGACAGCAGAACAAATGCTCAGATTTATGTTTGATAATCCTAAGACTCTGCAGATAAGTAATTTGACATCAGGATGGATTACAAATTGATATCGTGGAATGTAAACGGACTTAATTCACCCAATAAAAGAAAAATTGTGAAACATTGGCTGGGAAAACAAAAATGTAACATAATTTGCTTGCAAGAAACTCATATTAAAAGGCAAGATTTTAAAATATTTGGTCGCCAAACAATTAGGAGAAGAATTTTATTCATTGGCAGGAAAAAAGAATAGAGGGACTATGATATATATTAAAAAAGAACTAGAACCTAAAGAAATTTTCAAAGACAAAGAAGGGAGATATATTGCAGTGGAAATGACCATGCACCAAAAGAAAATCCTGATTGTAAATATTTATGCCCCTAATGGAGCAAAAGAGAATTTTTTTGAAGATTTGACACAAGACTTGGACCAGGTGACCTATGATCAAATTGTACTAACGGGAGATTTCAATGGCATGATTAATAACAAACTGGATCGGAAATCGAAGAAGTTAGATGAAAAGATAGGGAAGTTACCAAAAGTTTTTTTCAAGTTGGTTAGTCAAGAGAAATTGGAAGACTTATGGAGGAAATGGAATCCTACAACCAAAGACTTTACATTTTATTCAAATAGACATGACTCTTTTTCAAGGATTGACATGATATGGACGACTGGTGATTTAGCTTTAAAACACGGAATGTGGAAATTATGCCAAAAGTAAACGCAGACTACAATCCAATATTATGGATATCCAAAGAAGGGAAAAGAAAACCTAGATGGCGATTGAATGAAGATTTGTTGGATCAGCAAGAAATTGTAAACACCATAAGTAAAGAAACCAAACATTTTTTTCAAACAAACTTGACCCAAGGTATACAGATACAAACAGTCTGGGTGTCCGATTCCCCATGCATTCGAATAAATCCATGTTTGAAGAACAAAGTAGAGTTTATTATAAAGCGATGATGAGATCAGAACACAAGCATTGTTAGTAATAACTACAAGCCCCCTAAGGGAACATAATAAATAAACTTTGAACCAGGTGAGGACCAATGAGTCCACTTCCCGCTGGCGGGAAGGCAGATAAAACGAGCACCCAATTCCTTGGGAACACAACGGTTCTGCAACATAAACACTAGTTCAGTTCTCAGGCATGAGATACATAATAAGCCAAGCAATGCCATAACTCCATCCCACCTCCAGCTGGTTGACCTTGAGCAGTTCCGCAGATGTAGCAGCAAAAGACAGTAAACACCTACACAGGAAAATACAAGGGGGATGGGCAGGGTGCAAAGTAACACAGAAAATGAATACAGCATCTTATGGCAGCTTGCTGACACTGGGATGCCTACAAAGCAGTAATGAGAGGGCTATTAATATCATTGAACAGCAGAGAAAAGAAAAAGAGACTGGAACAACAAACTAATATATTGGAAAAAATTCGAGTAAAGGAAAAAGAGTTAAAGAAAAGACCGGGGGAAAAGAAAGTAATTAAAGAGATTCAAATTTTACAAGAGCAATTGAATACATTGATG